AGTATATATATATCATATATATATATATCATATATATATATATATATATATATATATATATATATATATATATATATATATATATATATATATATATATATATATATATATATATATATATATATATATATATATATATATATATATATATATATATATATATATATATATATATATATATATATATATATATATATATATATATATATATATATATATATATATATATATATATATATATATATATATATATATATATATGTATTTATATGTATGTCCACGTGTCTAAGTTGCACTCTCAATGCGTAGTACTTTAACTTTTATTAGTTAATTGTTCTTTATCGAGAACTCTATCGAGTTTTTAAAAGATATTGCATGAGCGATCGTTAATTATTATGATTATATGACTGCCACAGTTTTATTAGATGGACTTGACACCGACACGTGTGCGTGTAACAACGTTTGTGTTTGCTCGGTGCAGGTCCGTCTTAGTTAAGAAGAAAGTTTCAAGAGAAAAGACGTGACACTGACACAGTAATCTCTTATCAGTGCGCGATAGCAAAGTGAGATTACCACACAGATAACGGAGGAAACATACGGCAGTCGACACGTCTGCGTGAAGGAAAAATTCACATTGACATTTATTTCTTCCGGAGTGAGTGCATGTGCATCAACGGAGGAAGATCAACGCGTTGCCTTTTAACTTTTGAGTCGAAATTGAATAAGTTACTGTTTCAGAAAGTTTATCCGTTCCATTCAAAATGTTGCTTGGCTGGCCAGTGACTAGCTGTGGCCACGTCTGACTGTAATTGAGTCGTGGCCGAGCTTCTCTATATCTTAGTAAGCCGGGACATATACTGGGCAAATAGACAAGAAAAACGGAACTACTGAAGACAGTTTTAAGTTGATGTGGACCTCATCTGGGAATATTTCTGAAAGGTATGTTGGCTATGCGGTGTTTGTGTCACCACAAACACCACTTCTTTTTCTCTTTGGTAAATTCGCTCTCCTTTGTATCGGGGATGGATCGAGTTATACCTCAGAGTCACGCAGCGGGTGTATATGAGAGCTATGTGGCGCGCTAAATGTCAAGTAGTTATTCAGTTGACATTTAATCAAAGCACGAGGGAGTGCGTGGCGGCTGCCGAGATACCCGCTGCTGGTTAAAGGAGGTATTATCGAGACCGAATGAGTTATGAGCGCGCAATCGACAGCTGAAGTTAAAGCGTGAACGACCCAACAGATTGGTTCACATGTTTTGTATTTGTTGTTGACAAGAAGAATTTGATTAGCATTACATAATAATAATCTCTGGTTGATTATTTCAAGTGTTGGTTTGAGTTGTTTTACTCAGTGCGATGCCACTACTTCGTTAATTCCAGCAAGTGCCTGTGGATGCATTTGCTAGAAATGTAAATTTACAATTATTGTTTATTTTTCTCACATTTAGCCTTTTATGTTTAGGTCGAGGCTACCGCTCTGTCTCGGTCGGCTTGTAATCGTCCGGGAAAGTGAGCGTGTGGCTGAGCTTGCGTGTTCTTATGAGTAGAGGACCCTGCACTTTATAAAGAAACTATCTCATTTGGGACTTGCTCTCGCGCATGCATCGGACTCAATTTGACTGGCGAGAATAAGCTAAAAAGCGTAGGAGGAGACGACTAAGGGGTGAGTCATGCAGGATTATTCAATATGCACTAAGTAGACGTTCTCACTCGCTACCGGTGAAGTGACGCGACCTTATTTCTAAAGACCTGGTCGCCGAATGCCGTCATCCTTTCCGAACCTGTCCCTCGCCGAGCCCTTCCTTTCGTGCGTCTCCCCCTCCTCTGGTCCCGCTCTTCCCCTCCCTTCTAAACCCTCCCACTTTCCTCTTGCTTTCGCCCGACACCTACCTAATGAATGAAGTTAGTAGTGAAGGCAACCGGATTTTATCGATTTATCCATTTATCCACTTCCTAAAGATCTCGAAAGATTTGAAACGAGTTCGATTATTGGGCTTAATGTTATTTCATTTTTTTTGGGTCGAGGTAATTTTTAGATATAAAGGAATTCTAAAACAGTCACAGCTTATTTTTCTAACCCAAAACATCATTTCTTGATGTCACTTTTATTTCGGCGTGATCATAATATTAATAAAATTATACAGCATTACTACTGCTATAAAATTCATTTTAACGTTAGTAATATTTCATCCTTCTGGAATAATTAATATCATAGGATGTGGTTTACGTATCACACTTTTGTCCGTCGCCCCCCCCCCCTCTCTCTCTCTCTCTCTCTCTCTCTCTCTCTCTCTCTCTCTCTCTCTCTCTCTCTCTCTCTCTCTCTCTCTCTCTCTCTCTCTCTCTCTTTCCCTTTCCCTTTCCCATTCTCTCTCCCTCCCTCCCTCTTTCCTATTCTGTCTCTCCCTCCTTCCTCCCTCCCTCCCTCCCTCCCTCCCTCCCTCCTTCCTTCCTTCCTCCCTCTTTCCCATTCTCTCTTTCTCCCTCCCTCCCTCCCTCTACTTCTCCCCCCTCTATCCCTTCCTCTTTCTCATTCTGTCTGTAAGTAAGAGGCTATGGCTGCCTTAATACATTGGACAGTAATAGTTGTATACGGCTTGTCTCTTCACTGTTTAAGATTACACACAAGTAAATGAAGACAAAACGCTGATCTGCGAGCAAGTGCTGAGTGGAATGGCGCGCCCCAGCCAGTGGAGGGCCGGGGTCAGTGGTGTTTTGGACGAAACGGTAGCGGAGTGCGAACTAAAAGGTCAAATGGGGTCAGCCATAATCAACAACTGAGCCCCCGCTGAGGCGATGGTTATGAACGAACGTGCAGCCCACGTAGCAAGCTTAATTTAGACTGGTCTGCAGACGTGACCTTGAACTAATGCCTTACACAAATCATGCTTATACGCATACCATACCATACTCTCTCTCTCTATGCTGTCCTTTTGATCTCATTTTCTCTAACTCTTTTCTCTTATTTCTCCTTTTTTTTTTTTTGTATTTCTCTTTCTGTCATTCACCATTTCTATTTTTGATATGTCATTAATTCTCTTTTGTCTGTCATTTATTCTCTGTTTGTTCTGTGTCTTCATTACCTCTCTCTTCTATGGAGCGCGGTAGCCACCCGCCGCGCGAGAGGAGCGCGGGAGCGAGAGATAGGAAGGCGAGGCGAGCGCGCGAGCGCATAGGAGCACTGCGCTCTGCGACGGATGAGCGCAAGGCCAGCCAGGGAGCCGCCGAGCGGGCAGCGCGCGAGTGCAGAAGGAGATAGATGCGTAGAGGAGAGTAGAGTTTCGCGATGCAGAGCGCAGGACTAGCCGAGAGCAGAGCGCGAGCTCGGCGCGAGCTCGAGCGCGGGCGCGCGCATTGAGGCGAGAGCGAGAGAGTAGAGAGAAGAGCGCTAGATGATCGAGAGAGAGCGCGAGGGAAGGAGCGAGAGAGCGAGAGAGATGAGGAGAGAGAGGAGCGCGCGCAGAGAGAGCACGAGCGAGAGAGACGCAGAGTAGAAGGAGGAAGCGCGGACGCCATTCGAGAGAGAGAGCGAGTCAGAGAGATGAGAAGCGCGACGGAGACGAGCCCATGTCAGCGTGCGAAGACCCGAGAGGCATACAGTGATCAGCTTCGAGATAGATTGAGAGAGAGAAGAGATATAGAGATGATCCGACTATGCATCTGAATGTAGAAACTGAATTCATCGTCGTGCGAGATAAGTGGCTAAAATATCTCATATAGCGATCAGGCTCCGATAGATCGATAGCTCCATGAATTCTCTGCTACTCTATCTTATAGCTATAACGGTATCGATATATATCTCTCGTCTTCCCTCTCGAGTATCTCTCTCTCTCTCTCTCTCTCTCTCTCTCTCTCTCTCTCTCTCTCTCTCATCTCTCTCTCTCTCTCTCTCTCTCTCTCTCTCTCTCTCTCTCTCTCTCTCTCTCTCTCTCTCTCTCTCTCTCTCTCTCTCTCATTCATTCTCTCTCTCTCTCTCTCTCTCTCTCTCTCTCTCTCTCTCTCTCTCTCTCTCTCTCTCTCTCTCTCTCTCTCTCTCATTCATTCATTCATTCTCTCTCTCTCTCTCTCATTCATTCATTCTCTCTCTCTCTCTCATTCATTCATTCTCTCTCT